CCATTATTTTCAATTATCATCTCACATCTTCTTCTCATTGAACTAACAAGATTAATTATAATATTATTCGGAATTCTATCCCATTCTTCTATCATATACTGCTCTAATTCTGGGAGATTTTTAGGCATGCGCATTTCTACATTTCTTTTAACAATTGCCCAAAGGTTTTCAATTGGGTTTAAATCTGGACTATTGGAGGGCCAGTCTATAACTTCTGGAAAATTTTCATTCAAAAATGTTTGACAAACTCTGCTTGTATGCTTTGGATCATTGTCTTGCTGGAAGCGCCAATTGTTTCCAAGCATTCTGTTGATCTCTCGCTTATGTCTTTGTAATATATCAATATAAAAGTTTGCATTCATAATTCCTCTGAAGCAAAAAAGAGAAGTTTTTCCTTGTACACAAAATCCTCCCCATGCAAAAATTTTTGTTCGATCTTTAGGAATCCTTCGTACTGGCCTTTCACCTTTGTACCATTGGGATATTGTATTTCTGAATAACTGAAAGGCAGTCTCATCAGAAAATAGAGTGGTCTCCCAATTATCATTGAGATGTCTGGTTGCCCAACTAATACGAGCTTCTTTGTGAGCAACAGTGAGCATAGGTGTCTTTAAAGGCAAATTATTTTTGTAGCCCAAGTTTCTCAAATGTCTTGAAACTGTCATATGGGACACGTTGGCAACATTATTTGATAATTTTCTTGCTAAAGTTCTTGTAGAAAGTCTTGGGTCATGACGCAAATATTGTCAAATTGCTTTTGATTCATTCGCAGTAATTTTTTTGGGATGACTACTGATTTTTCTTGAATTATCACCTTTTTCTTTTAATTTTTTAAGATTGTAATAGATTGTTGACATTATGATACCAGTTCTAGAATGTATTTCTTTCGCTGAAGTAATTCCATTATTCCACAATTGTAATATTGCTTTTCTTTGGGTTTCTTTATCAGAAGATGACATTATGACATTGATTTCATAACAAAACAAAACAAAACAAAACAAAACAATTTAAACATATCCTAATATAGTTTAGTAGATATTTTTTATATATTCAAAACATGAAATGAATCACTTTTATTTTGGGAAAGTTATTAGTGTTTGAATTTGTGAAAATTTTTCCAAAATTTTTTGTT